TACCTGAGCAGGTTTCACAAGAAAGTTTTCTACATGATCTTTCAGTTTCTGCTGATGGCACCAAAAAGTGCAAGTTGGCAGAAATGTATCTCAAGTTCACTGCTTTTTGATAATTTTTAAATAACTAAGAGAATAAAGTCACATTCTTCATTAAGCTCTCCATCATTTTATTTTCTTCAGCCTGACCTTTTGAATTGAGGTGGCAGGATTAGACGCCTTGACAGTAATCAAGGTTGCTATTGTCGTGTGGACAAATTGGGACTAATTTTGCCTCATTCCTCTGTACGACAGTGTGATGAACCTGGATGATTTAACAAGGAGAGGTCTCTACCTCAGTGACATCCCTCTTCACGACGCCACGCGCGATCTCGTTCTTTTGGGAGAACAATTCAGAGAGGAATACAAACTGACCCAAGAACTGGAAATCCTCACGGACAGGCTGCAGCTCACATTAAGAGCCTTGGAAGATGAAAAGAAAAAGACAGACACGTAAGAATGAAATGTTTGTGGTTAGAGAAGGACACCACTGTTATTCCTAGTACATTATGATTCTACTATATTACTTAAGATTGGTGACTAGACTAAAAAGGCATGGGACCTATAGTAACTCTGGAATAGTTGATAAAGTCTTCCACATTGCTTTTAAAAAGAAATTATACATAAAGAAATAAATCAGTCTTAATAGTAGCAGGAATATGTCTTCTATTTTTAGAAGGCATGTTGAAAGAATTTTATGACAAAACATCTCTCTGAAAATCATGAGTATAATTCAAATACATATTTAAAGTTCAACCATTCATTCAGTCACTTATTCATTCATGTATTCATTCATTCAGAAAAGAGTTATGTATTCATCACCTTCAGTGTGCCAGGCCAGGTGCTGAGTGTTGCTCCAAACGATGAACTTAGACTTGGGTATTACATTTAAAAAACCTTCTTTTCTTGGGCTCTGAATTATCTTAGGGCTTGAAAGATATAAATCTGACAGATTGTAATGTCATCTGTAATGACAATAATTATATCTGTAATGACATACGTTAGCAAAAATATCAAAATACCAAACTATTATTTTTTCTATGAATGCTGGATTAAATAATGAATATTGAGCAAGTAGCATTAAAGATAATCCTTAATTTCCAAGTAATACATCTAAATAAATACATATCATGCATAGTACTTGGCCTTGCTTCCACATATTAATGAAAAGCACTAGATCACTGACATTCATAAGAGATTTGACCCAGGTTTTGTGTGTTCATTTTCTAATGTTTATATAATGGTAAGCTATCTTGGAGAATTGAATTCATCTGCCATTCTTCCCATAAGAACTCTTTCACTCTACCTGAACACCCAGAAGATTGGTAACAACATCACTTTCTATACTCTTGCACTGATACACGTGCCCATGGATGGATGCCGTGAACACGTTAAATGCATCAGTTAACTTTACTAACACCATGGATGAAATAGAGAATGCCATTTTAAATGCCTGTCTCTATTCATAGTTTCTTAATTCACATCTTGGCATTTGTATAATGAAGTTGGAAGCTGTGTGTAGTTTCCTTTGAGACCACTTTACTTCCCTCATGGTCCTAAACTGTACCCAGTTTAATCTATCCAGGTATTTGCAAGTTTCAGAAAGAATATGGGGGCAGGTAGCTCAGATTCTTCCACTGCTTGAAAAACAACTCAAACTGTATGCTTTATCGGTATGTGGTGCAACTTCATCCATGAAAAATTACACATTTTATGGAGCTTGTAAGACCTTAGAACTAAGGTTCAAAGTCAAATGGGTTTATAGGTTTGTTTTACTCAATGTCTTGCTCTGGCTGTTACATTAGAAAACCACCTAGGTTTCTTTTCTTTTCTTTTTTTTTGTATTGTGACTCAATATGTGCTAATACCTATATTGGTCATAAGCAGATAACTAACCAAAACTATAAAGGGTGCATACTTTAAATTGTGAAAATACACATACTGAGCAGCTGTTAATTTACTCTTTTCCTAAATTGTCACCTTAAACAAGATATTTGCTTCTCTCCCTAGATGAGGAGGTCTAAATTAGGAGTAGTTGGGAGTGGAACAAGGGTTTGTCTTTAATATGAGTAGCGATAAGTACTCATCACAGAACTATTCCTTTGTTTGGGTAATCCAAGGTGGGTTTAACTTTCTGAAACTATTTGCACTATTTAGAGTTATTTTACTTCAAGAGTTGTTATATTATTTTTAGACTGTTAGATTTAGAATTAGATTTTTGTTGATATTTGATTTTCAATGTGACTTAGAAACCATTTACTATTAATTATCTTTAAAGCTAAGTAGTTCTTCCATTCATATTTAATATTCAAGTACAGTTTTAATATTTTATAAAATGTCCTCTACTTAAAAGTTAGAAATGAAAGACTGGAGAAATTCCAGTACGGCTGGGAAAAACACTGAGAGCTCAGCTCTATCTTGCATATTTAAACTTCACATGGTTTTTGCCCTTTTGCTTTAGGAAAGAAAAAGGAGATAGGCCAGGAGGCCTCGTTTGTTCCTCTGAGTCTTCATATCGAGAGCCTATAGATCTTCCTAGTTTCTGCCTCTCTTCCTCTAAATTCATCAGCTTTTATCTCCTCTGATGTGCTTACCACATTTGTCCCCTTA